TGACCTCGGTCGCTGGTACAGACCTCACTGCGTTCGGTCTGTACTGGCAACCTCGGTCAAGATTCTCCCATACAGACCTCCCGCTCGGTTAATAAGAACTAAGTACAAACATCGCTTTGTTATTCACGGCAAGGCTTCGCACTTACCCCCGACTGAAAAGAGAGATTTTAGGATTCACTAAAGTTAGGCACGAAAACCCCTAAAAACCAGCAGGTGGAACAATTAATTTTTTTATGGGCGCTGTATAATATTTGCTGAATAGACCGTCGGCAAAATATCTATATAACTATTTCGTGTTTTAAATATGGTTATGAATCTTACCAAGAAGATTAGAGCAAAATTGAAAATGACTCGCAGAGATATTGTCTTGGACAATAATGAGGTTCAAAAATAAACCCTAACCTACCAATAAAGAGAATTTTTATAGCTTATAAACAATTCTAAAGTGATGATGATTGTTGTTTTACCATTTTCTTTTACAGACCAAGGCCTTGGCCGCGTATATGGTAGAACTTGGTCAGATTAAAGGGTGATATCAAGGCTTTGAGTGGCCGAAGACAAGCTATTTTGATAATCTGCCCGGTACACAATGGAAGAAGTGTCACGGAATCGGCGGTTTTTAATGATTAAACAACTCCCATGAATGACCAAGGCAGAGATGTGTCCTTTCAATATCAATGCAATATCAAGCTGACAAGTGATGAGAATATACAAAAATGGTAAAACTGAAGAACAGCTCCCCAAAAATCTGTCGGCCGACTCAGTGTCGGCCGACTGTTGGCGAACGAAACACAGAAAACACAACGAAAACACAACGAAAACACAACGAAAACACAACGAAAACACAACGAAAACACGACGAAAACACAACGAAATTTACCTCTATCGCGTGATGTTCGTCAAAATTAATTTTGAGGTAATTGTGAAAGTTCAAACTTACCAAGATGATAGTCTAGGTACTCGTTTCTGAATTTGTTTTCATTATGTCGGCCAACTGTCGGTGAACAGTCGGCCGACAGATATTTTGGGGAGCTGTTCTTCAATTTTACCAAAATATCATTTAGGGAATTATTAGTTGATCGAATATCACATTCTTCCAACTAAAATCATATGACTTGCGTGGCGGGCAGTAAGGAGAATTACTAAAGAGATCTTGGGAATGAAAGGGGTAACGGGATTTCATATTCAGATTTCATATTCAGATTTCATAACGCGCTCATAACTGGTTATGAATTTTTTTTGTTTTTGACGAACTTAATTGCGTTTAATGAGATTTTCTGACTCCTATGGAAATGATACCACAAATATTCCATCACTCATATTGTCTAGTTGCTCTAGATTGCCTGGTGCATATTATCTGGCGTTGACTACAAATCACGTAAGCCAGCATATATTATTTTTACAAATGTTTGTAATTTTAGAAAAAGAATTGAAATAAAGAAAAGCTGGATGATTTGCTTTAGTAAATGCGTTTGTTACTATTTGAGATTTAACTCTCTCTTATACGAGCCTTGTTATTTGTTACGACTTTTAAGACCAGCTTCGCCATCTCTTTTTTTAAGTGTGGTGGCATATCTTGTAAAAATAAACTTGAACTCAAACTCTGTTGTTGTTTGTTAAAAAGTAAGCTAGAACTTAAACTCTTTATCATGGTATCTTGTTACTGAAGGAGCAGTATTCTAGAACAAGAGTACTTCGCTCTTAGAAGCACCTCTTTCCACGCAATCGTACAAACAACTACCAGCGAACTAACAGGGGAGAGGGGAGGGGTGGGGGGTACCCTCGGTGGATTAGCATCCTGGACAGGAGAAGAAGAAATGCGCTTAGTAGCTTCATGCTATGGAAACGGCAACAAACTCCTGCTGCGATGAGATTCAATTCTGTATGCAGATTTCTTTTGTCAAGAATCGGCAGAAGCACTCTAAACTCCTTTTCTTTCTTTTGTTTTTCCAGTGTGACTATGGGACACGGTGGGCGGCCATGGGTTAGTGACTACAACCACGGCAACTACCAGGCGGCAAAGAAGGCTCTTATGACAGGTACATGACAGGGTGAACTAGTGCCACACGATCAACAATGTTTGATGTAACACAATGCAGTGTTTATTTTCTTTGTGCCGCAATAGGCGCGTTGCAAGTATAACTGGAGTCACACAATGATTAGTTTTGAATGTGACCTGTGCACGACGGAAAAACTGTTACGAGTGTTATGCCGTGACAGATGTTTGACGGGGATAACTCGAATCATGCAAAGATGAATTTGAAGTGCAAATTTATGGCTTGTGCTCGGCGAAGAAAACTGAAGTCACAAACTCAGTAAATCTTGATTAGAAGTCATTACCGTGTTTATTTGCTTTTTTAAAGTGTTTGGTTCTGAGCCCGACATGACCCGTGAAGGTGGAAGCATCCCCGTGACTCTGACCTTGCAGGAAGCCACTGGAAAGAATGTGATGCTGCTTCCGCTTGGAGCGTGTGATGATGGTGCGCACTCACAGAACGAAAAGATGGATCGAAAGAACTACATTGAAGGAGTAAGTGTTGTGGCTTTTTGGGTTGTCCGAGGGGAGGGGGGAGGGTGGAAGGGGGGAGTGTCGAAGCTTCGAATTGATCGGCACATATGAGAGAGACAGAGATATAAAGAAAGAGATATGGAGAGACGAGGTCAGTTTGATTTATAATTAACAATTATTCGCCGAAGGCGAGGTGAATATCGTCGAATAATCCCCGAGACGACGAAGTCGAGGGGATTATTCGACATATACTATATACTAAAACAGTGGATAGCGTTGAAGGCGCGCTCTGATTGGCTACTCAAA